AGGATAAAATGACAGTGAGAAAGAGATCAGCTGGGGTCGACAAAGGCTTACTTTATGGGACATGTGCAGGGTACATCAGCATTGGAAGAAGAGTTTCTGCCTCTCCTCTATGGAGATAGGCAGCATTTTCTTTGAAAAGCAAACATGCAAACCCATGCACAATAGCTAAAAGGGAAAGGACTGACAACCAGAACACCCTGTACCTTGGATTTGAGCAGCAGATCATCCCTGGTCACCTCTCCTATGGAATCCAGGTGAGGACAGATGTCTCTCGTATCCCCCATTTTCACCAACGCTCACCTGCAGGGGGTTGTTTTCCTAGGACGAGAAAGGATAGTTCCTTTCAGCTACGCGTCAGATTTGCTCTCACAGATTGTAAGAAGATAAATTAGCATCTTTTGTGTATTAGAGATTACGATACCTATCTTTAAGGTTCAGAGATCAAAACAAATCTAAATCTGGAGTCAGTCATATTAGCTAGCACAGTTCTGACCCGTTGTTGAGTGGCTGCATTGTGGTATCGTAGGTAAGCGAGCAAGGCAACGGCGAGAAAGAAGAAGGAAGCACATGAATAAAGCTAATAATCTGTACAATGAGCCATGTGCGTTCAGAATGTGGGGAGGTGCTCAGTACACAGGCACAGCTTCAGCAGCACAGCTGCCGACTCGGTTTCGGGTACGGGGATGGATTTCCTGTAGCCGCAAAATGAAAACAGCGGTGCAGTTACCCACCGACCACCCTCTTCTTAAACTCCCAGGCTGTCTGGATCACGTAGCATCTCTGAATGATGCAGACCCCTACAGCAATAAATAAAACCTCCCATTAACTCATACACACTTTACATACATAACTTAACTGGTCTTGTATACCATGAATACTCTCTACTCCATGAACCTGATGCGACTGATAAGCTATGCTTCCCCCCCTAGAAACTGGGTGTTACGTGCTAGCTCAGCAGGTAGGGTGGGAAAACAAATGCGGTGATCTGAACTGACTTCCTCTTGCCAAAGACAAACACGCAGCATGAAAAGATACAAATCTAATTAGCTTGTTTGCATGAAACTTAGATTAAAAGTGAAAGGGCGCTGCAGCCCAAGACACAAGCATTTAGCCTATGGTGTCTAGGGGCTTCACACTACCCCGATCTGAACCTACCATTTATTTATTATACTACTTTATCAAACATTAAAAATATGATTACTGTTGTAAATTAAGCTGGGCAAGAGGGAATTAGACTTAAATGATCTGTAACACAGATAACCAGTCTTCAGTCTCTGAGGAATTTACCATTCCATAGATAGATTTTTAACAATGTGAGCCACAAAACTCTCAAAGACTGTACAAAATGTAACAACACACTTTTCCACCCAGCTCGTACATCCAAGCACCTCAAGTACAGAGGATTTCATAGCTGCATGCTTATGAGCACAATAAACACTTTCATGGTGGTCCATGGGTATGTAAAAGACTTTAAACGTGTCTTGGTAACATGCAGCTATAAAAAATAAAAAAAAGAGTTTGTGTTTCTTCAGCATAGTTCAAGTAACCTCACTTGTGGCTGTAAAAAAAAAAAGAAAAAAGAAGACAAGTGATACTACAACACAGATCGGGATCCAAAATATTACTACCGGCTGGAAACGAAGCAGATAGGAAAAGCCCACATCATTACAAGAAAGAAGTGGAAAAATCTGATGAACTTGAAGTTAATGACTCCAGCAGCATAGTTGCTACACTCTGTAGTTTTCACATTTTGAGGACATTTGAAAGAATTCCCAGTGTTACCTGGTCTGAATCACTGACAGTGGGGAGAAAAGGAAAAAAAAGGATAAACGAATAAGCCATATCAGCAACACTTATCTTGGGAGCCGAAAAGCTTGCCTAGCACCTTGCCTTGGCAGAAGACAAACCTCAAGGATAATTTTATAACAATGTTTTTCCAGCACTCTTCAGCAAAGTGAAACTGGAGGGGGAAGGAATCATATTTGCATGCCAGAAAACACAACAGTGGTTGTAACCAGCATCTCAATAACCTGTGAAGAGATGCTTAACAAACAACTGAGCAATTTCATGCAGCTTCACCGAGAAGCAAAATAGTATCATGTAACGTATGTTGATTTAAAAGACAAGTGACAAGAGCGCAGGATCTTTGACTAACACATAAAACTGGGACACCTTCAGGCTCTAAGTCCCTTCATCAAAACTGACCCCTTTTCCCAAATGCATTGGCTGGTCCGATTAAAAAAAAAAAAAAAAAGTATCAATGCCATGTTTGCTAGTTCACCTTCCTTGATTTCTTATCCCTTTCCCAGAAAACCTAATAAACAAAATATTGTTTTAAAATTAACTCCAGACCCCTTCATCTTCACCAGCTTCAGCTAATTGGGAACTGGTTTTGGAGCACACACTGTTAAGTACAGTCTTGTGGATGTGGATGGTTTTAGCGCATTCCATGGGACCACCCCTCTACTCAAAATTAAAACCATGCCTTTAAACTTCCCGGCGCTGGGATGCTGATCTTCCCACCCAGGGCTTCCCTTTTTGAACAAAACAGGGAAAACCTCATTTTCGCCTCTCAGCCCTGACTGAACGCATCAGAAAACGTTCGAGTCATAACTGTTCAGAAGGAAGTATTCAATCCCTACCTTCCCACGACGCTGCCCTAAGAGCTTTAGCTGGCGCACACAGCTCTCTAATGCTGCTCAGGAAACTAGGAATTTAATAAAAGCACTGCCAGAAAGCTTAACTTTGTTTGTCAAAATGTACTGTGTATGATGGGAAAAGAAGTTACCTTAAAACAAGTCCTTCAGCCTGTCTTTCTCAAGCACCACTGTGGAAGAACAGTACACGAACATGTCAGAACAATTCCATGGTAACTGCACCCTACTTTCAGTTGCTTAAATTGCTGCCAAACCCAGTGTCTCTGCCTTCTACAGTAACGCATTTCTCGGGGTTTTTTTTGCTTAAAACAACTGTGGTGTTGTTTGTCTACCAGAGCTAGAGCCAGCCGTCAAGAATTTCAGATGCATCCAGATTCACGGTTTGCGGAGTAACTGTACGAATAAAAGACATCCTAGCACTGTTCATCCGCAAAACAACTACCAGGTCTGCTCGCCCATCTTGCATAACCTACCAAGATAAAGGAGTATCTGCAGTTGTTCTTAGCGACATTTTATACTTGAGATACTGAAGAAAGAAATATTTACTGAACTGCCCGGCTGACAAGGAAGAACCACAAACCAGGCGCTTCTGACTCTTAGCTGACCGTTTGCACCACATCACGTATCGGAAAGCCAGGCGTTTTATGCAGAACAGGCAAAGGAGACCAGGTTTTACAAGAGATTTATTACTGGAGGTCACAACACGACGGCGCACCCAGAGATGTAGCTTTTAAGGGAAAAACACTTTCGGGAAATCCCCCCC